GAGGGTTAGTTACATCAGAGCCAGGAGCCCTTTCTTCTCACTCTCTGCCACTGTGGACACAGCCCCCCTGGCCAGACAGCCACTGCCCTGCCTTCCAATGAACGCAGTCCTCCCAGTGCTACCATTGCCTGACTCAGGAAACAACTCCAGAGGCAACTCAACCACCTTCAAGGATGATCACAAAACAAGTCTACCCAGGAACGAGACCCGTGGGAGCCGGGGCAAACAGGGAGAGCTGGGAATGTACACAGGGGCCCTGCAGGGAGCAGAGGGGAGCCAAGCAACACCTTTCACTGTTAGCGAGAGGCCCAGCACGGCTCTGACTCCAGCACCCAGGAGGGCATGAAGGAGCTCAAGGAGGTTTTAAAAGAATTTAGCACTGGTCTGCGGGTCTGACTGCCAGCCTGAGACTTTAGTTCCACGTCTACAGAGCAGGAGTGGCACTGGGTACAGCATGGCAAACCTCTCCCCTGCCGCCCCACCAGTGGGGTCTCTGGTGAGCCTGAGTGCCAGTCAGTGCCAACATCCAGAGGTCATGCTCTGCTAATACTTTGCCCCAAATCAAATAACCTGGCTAATGCGACAGGGTCGATCAGTCCGAGTCCCACCCCCGCTCAGGCACTTACGATCCAGTGCGGTCTGCCGGCGGATGTGGTCAAAGAACTTGGTGTTGTTGGAGAACATTCCGCCACAAGTAGGACAGGCCACTACCTTCTCCTGCGTGTGGCTGCGCAGGTGTTCCCGCAGCTTACAGCGCCCTTTGAAGGTGCAGTCGCACTCTGAACATAAGAGGCAGAGACATTGGTTAGCTCTGTGGCAAAGGACCCGGCAGCTCCAAGAAACGTTCAGTAGCACAGGCAGAGGAAAATGTCTTGGACTCCACAGGCCTGAACCATTCTGTTCTGCGGTGAGGGAGGTTAACGCTGCCCCCAACGGAGAGCTAGGCCAGGAATGCTGCAGCAACGTATCAGACTGGATACAGGCCAACATACAGTATAAATCTGTCATTCCACAGGGCACATGAGCAGCTGAGATGGTCAAGTCAACATGAAAGACATCGGTTATTTTTAAAATTAAACCAGCACTTTTCCTTTTGCTGTTCCATTCAGGGGCAAGGGAAAGATCAAAGGACTTGATACATTTTATTAAATTCCTCAACTGAAATCACCGGGTATCTAGCCCACCCCTGGAGGGTAGTTTTCAGTCAGTTCTTGGATTGGTGGTAGGAAGTTCTTGGGCATCTTCACATTTCAGGGATCACCAACCATAGACAGGAAGACACACCATCTAAATCAGAAGGGCTGGGTACTAAGCAGCAAGAGATCCAAGTTATATTCCTCACTCTTACTGATGCACTGTTGGTATCCCAGCAAGCGGGGTCTGCATTTTGGTTTACGTAGCCATCCAGTGGGGAAAGGGGTGAGGCAAGGCCCAGCTCATTAGTGTTTAGAAAGCCCTCTGAGCGTCACAGTGGGAAGGTGCTACAGAAGTGCAAAGCCTCCCCAACCCCCTGGCAGAGCTTTCAAATTCTTGCATGTGCAGGGACTGTGTTTTGTTTGAACAGAGCCAAGCACAGTGGGGTCCTGATCCACGATTGGGGTTTCTAAGCAGTACAAATCAAACAAAATCAAACACCTTTCCAGCCACAAAAGACCACATGGTTCTCCTTCCCAGCTGCCTTGTATTCTGAACAGAAGCTGTGATCCTCCACATGCCGGTAGAACCATTCAGGGTTATCAAAAGATCTCTGTCAGGGGAAGACAAAGACACAAAAGTATAGGTCAGCACATGCACGCTAGCAGCTCTGGTATAGCTCAGCTCTGACAGACCTCTCCCCTGCCTCCCCCTCCGGGCAAACACAGAAAAGCACAATCAGAGCCTGCATCCATGTGTGGATTTTTTTCCATCCAGGTGCTTGGAAGAGTGTGACCAACTATGTGCTCGCTCAACCCTTGTCCTTTGTGGATTATTAAATCAAGCCAGGAAGGGATGACGGGTTGGGTCCAGAGGATTATTAATGCTTCTTTAGATGTGGGATGGTTCCTACCACCTTGAAAGAGGTGGTAATAAAACCGTTCCTTAAGAAACCTTCCCTGGATTCATGCAATTTCAATAACTATCGCCCAGTCACTAATATTCCCTTCCTGGGCAAGGTAATTGAGCAGGCAGTGGAGCTGCAACTCCAAGCTTTCTTGGAAGAAACGGATTATCTAGATCCATTTCAGTCTGGCTTTAGGCCTGGTTTTGGAATGGAAACTGCCTTGGTCGCTCTGGTAGACAACCTATGCTGGGAGATAGACAGGGGGAGTGCATCCCTGTTGATTCTTCTGGTCCTCTCTGCGGCTTTTGATACCATCAACCATGGTATCCTTCTAGAGCGCCCAGTGGAGGGGGGGTATCAAAGGTGCTGTTTTGCAGTGGTTCCAGTTTTATCTATTGGGACGCTTTCAGAAGGTGGAGCTAGGGGACTGCTGCTCAGTGATGAAGTGACTGTGCTACAGGGTCCCGCAAGGTTCCATCTTGTCCCCTATGCTGTTTAACATCTACATGAAACTGCTGGGAGAGGTTGTAAGGAGATGCGGAGGATGGTGCCATCAGTATGCAGAAGACACCCAACTCTATTTCTCTGTGACATCAGATCCTGGGGTGGCGACGACTGATCTGAACTAGTGTCTGGAGGCGGTGATGGACTGGATGAGGTCACAAGATGAAACTGAATCCAAATAAGACCGAGGTCCTGTGGATCAGGGAGCCATCTGACTGGGAATGTGGTGTTACCTGTTCTGGACGGGGACGCACACACACGGACACACTTTAACATTTTGTAAGCCACTTCAAATATTTTAAATAGAGAGGTGAGGTAAAAATATGTTTACATAAATTTTTTAAAAAGTGCAGAATAAATTGGAGGTACGGTCATGTGTAGTAGAAACAAAAACCCAGCTGTTGATTCTCTGCTAATCAGCTACCAGGCATTCGAATTTCTTCTGAGCTACCACGCAAGTGCCCAGCTTACAAGAAACACTATCCAAAAGCAGAGCAGTGCTCATAATAATGAGAACATCTCCCTACCCTGAAACAGATTTTGTTAGCTTGAATCACCTAACGCTCTGTCTGTGCTACAGACTGAACTGGGTTGAGGTATTAAGGGTAACAACAGATTGACCAGCCAGTCTCCAAGTCCCCAAGCATTCACCTTTTGTCTTGCTCCCAAGTGACTGCACATCTACATACAAGATTAGGAGGGTGGATTCCTTCTCCCTGCTGTTCTCACCTCACAGTACTCCCACAGACACAAGAAGTTTTCCTGGATCTCAGGGATGATGTTGCGGCTCTGGAAATCCAGCTGACAGTGGCTCACATCTGACTGGCTCTGCAAGGCCTGTAGCCCCCACTGCTTCAGCTTAGTGTGGTAACAGTGGAAGTAAACATGGCGGACCAGGTCTGCCGAGCTCTCTGGGGAGCAGAAGCCACATTCCTGCCATAGACAGACGTATTCTTCTGCAACACAAACCGAAAACGCACATATTGTCTATCTGGCAGTAACTTTCTCTCTGTTAAAGCTTACGCCCTCATCAGCTGAGAAGATATGCACTTTTCTCAAAGTTTCAGGGGGTAGCCGAGTTAGTCTGTACAGGATAAGCTTAAAAAACAACAAATGGTCTGGTAGCACTTTAAAGACTAACAAAGCATGTAGATGGTATCATGAGCTTTTGTGGGCACAGCCCACTTCTTCAGATGACCAGAGTCTTGAGTTTAGGATGTGCAGACCCAAAATAAATAGGGGAGAAGGGAAAGGGGGGAGGGCAAAGAGGGGGAAAAAAGGAAGGGGGTGGGAAACAAGGAGCAGAGGGTATGAACATATCAAAGGGTATCAAATATCTTTTCTCAAAGATAAATGTGCATCTAGACAAGCTTCCGTCCATCCCTGCAACAGATGAGAACATCTCATCATCTTCCTACTCATTCAGCTCTCGGTTCTGTTCTCAAAGGCTGAACCTCTAGCCTATGATCTGCCAAGATCTTGTACTCAAGACAACCAATATAAACTTCAACTATAAAACTCTTTAGCTCTGGTAATAGCTCAGGTGTTCACAGATACCTGTGCGGTGCTCAGAATGCTAGACAGCACCTTTCACTCCCTTTTTAAAAAAGAAATATGCAATTTGGTCCCAGAATTAGTTAACGCTTCTAAGCATCTCATTGACCAGCCCTGCATAAATACTATAAATTGAATTAAAGTCACTCAGTGAAGGTAACTTTAAGGGTTTGATTGCCCTATAAATTCTATGGGCAGAGAAGCATTGCTGTGTCAGACAGGGGAGAACAAAGCCTTCCAGGTCCCTGACACAAAGCTGTACTGCACCATAACCTCGAATCACGACCAGACACTCTAACAGGTTCTCTCATAGAGGAACTAGATCTGCTGCAAAGGTTATTTTCTTACTAAAATATAGAACAGGCCATCATCAGTGGACACTGATATGACCTTCCCTAGGAAATTCATTATTGTAATTAGACCATGTCAACAAGGGATGGTTCAGAGTAATGAAAACTTTAGGGATGCTAAAGGTTAACCAGTAATCATTAGCCTTACTGATATCCTTCCCTGGTAACTGGTTAACTGGAGGCCAGGTCAGAGATGTCCCCTGCACCCACAGCCCAGCCAAAGCTGGCCCCCACTCATGGAGAGCTGGGCTGGAGGACTTCCTGCCTGGAGGGCCCCTGCATAGAGCAGCTCCCTCCATGGGACCCCAGCCATTCTGCATCAGCCCTCCACTGTTAACTGGTTAAACTATTACAATTACATGGTTTTACCGGTTAATAAGTATTTACATCCCTAGGGCGCTTACTCCATGACCCACCTGAGGCTCTTCCAACCCCGGAGCCCAATTTTAGCGACAGTGTTTAACTGCACCCCGTGTCCCTTACCAAGAGGGTCCATCTCATCCCCATTCAGATGCAGCTGCAAATGCTCCGAGACATGATCGCAAAACTCCTCCATCTTGGAGGCCAGGTAGGTGCACATCGCCCACTCGCACTGCAGCACCAACGTCTCCTTGCTGCCGGCCTTCCCGGGAGGCATGGTCCGAGCGTCAGGCCCTGGGAGAAGACACAAGGGTGTTAGCCTGTTCGGTGTCCAACCCCCCCCCCCCCGCGCCCAACAACCCACACGCCGCCCC